TCTCAACAAGTTCATTGTATGCCGTAATAGGCTGAGGAAGATGACAAGGAAGCTAAGAAGAGATTTTGAAGCCCAGATCACAAAAGACATCAAAACCAACCCTAAGGCTTTTTGGAAATATGCGAACACCCGCCTCAAGACCAAACCTGGGATTGATGTTATCGAAAATGAGCTAGGGCAACCCAAAAGCTCTCCCAGCGACAAAGCAGATCTGCTCAACAAGTTCTTCTCCAGCGTCTTCGCGACAGAGGATCAGACCACCATGCCAGTACCCCGAAGCCAGCCTTTTCTTGGTGACAGACTATGTGAGGCAGCTATAACTTCAGAAGAAGTCTATCAGAAACTCAGGGGCGGCGCCACGGGTTTTCGATAGGGGGGGACGGGGACCGAAAATTGAAAATCCCAAAAGTAGATACTGATCGTGTATGCAAAAAAAAAAAAACGAGGCACGTAACGCCGCGAAACTTGGCAAGGCCCAAAACACATCGAATGGTGCATCCCGTTTCCAAACTTATCCTAGGACACCTAAGATCGATCACCTTTTCAAGCATCCTTGCCTCTAAATCAAAATTTGCAGTCTTGCCAACTCAAAGCTGAGGGGTGTTCACGGGCACCGCACACTGCTGCGTGCGGTGTGTGCGGAGCGTCCAGCAGGCGTGGGGGTAGGGGATGGGTAGGCGGCTCTGACGTCACGGCTGCGTGCGGTGGACGGTTCGCTGTGGCCAGTCCCGACCGGCCACAGCGGTCGCTGTGTGCGGTGACGGAAGGCTGACGTAGGGACGCAGTGGGCGGAGCTTGGAGGCTGTGTGCGGTCCGACCGCACACAGGGCCCGTGAACAGCCCTCTGGTTTCCTACAAGCTGCGAACTGCTTAGGTATGAGTAGCAGTGCCAGCTATTCTTACGTTTCGTACTTTCAAATTTTCGATCTTATGTCTGGTCAGCTTCAGGGCTTCACCATCATATAGTCATGGAGGAAAAGTGGGAATGTCTTCTGCTCTGACAAGTGCGCCAAAACTGCAATATAATTTCAGAATCATGACATCACCACCTGATCCATATGCAACGGGCAGGGTGCAGCTAATGGCTAGCCGTCAGTGGTCATGTCATCGGTGGTCACTCAAAAGGACATGCTAGGTCATGGAAGGTCACCAGCCGTTATTTGATCACACTTTCTGATGGATTTTACTTGCCAAGAGCTTCGCGGGAAAAACGAGCGCATGCACCGTTGAAAAAATTGAGTGAAAGGGTCTCAGGTCCGGCGACCTCTGCAGGTGAAATGCCCCAGGGTAGGATTTCGGTGCTTGTTGATTAACTTCGTCAAAAATGGCAGTAGAGCTGTGATGTCGGCACCATTGTGTGCGTCATGATCGAGCTGGCACGACCTGCATCGTTCTCATATTCACCCTCCAATCGTAACAACTACAGCAGGGATTGGCAAATGGCGGGGCACCCCCTTTGGGAGGTAGGTAATGAAGGTCTCTGGAAACCTTATCCCACATCTCTTTAGCATTAGTGGCTCTCCTTATGGAACAGGTTTCTTGACTGGTCTGTTTCACCCCAGAATTCAAAGACTAGTCAAGGTAAAACCGAGCGCACCACAGTGAGCACAATTTGATAAGCTGGTGTATCTCAATTTTCATGTAGAACCTTTCACGTATCACGGACCTAAAACCCTTTCGTGCACTCATGCAAAAGCAACTGCCATGTTTCAACAGCTGGTAATGGCATTTTCACAGCCGCTGACGTAAGAAGGGGAGGGATGGGGGGCCCCCAGCCGTTCGGCCGCCGACCGAACTTAGTTTTGCAGAAAAAAAAACCGAGTGCTATCGAACCCCTTGACGAGAGGGAGCCGATGCTATATCCAATTATAAGGTCTTGGGCTACTGCGTGCTTTTTTGGTCCTGCCTGGTGCCTGTGATCTATCCGAACACTTCTCCCCACAAGTGCTGGGGTTAAATGGCATAGATTTCAAATGGTTCCTGTGGTAGAACTGCCATGCTTGAATTTGACTAATTAGGAATGGAAAATTTTCATATAGTAACGGAAATCTATGGAATTTCAGTGAACTTGGTTTTATCGGCAATGGGGTCTGGCAGTGGGGTGAGGAGGTAATAAGTAATAACCCTGCCTGGCGCCCCAAAAAGGGGGCACGATCCCCGAGGCCCTGCCGATCACCTTATAACTATGTACAGGCATCACAGCTCCACACCTTTTGCAGATGGCCAGGACCCCCTGCGATGCATCCCAACAGCAATCTTTATTCAGAACCTGCCTTGATTAACCAACGATGCATTAAATGCGACGGATAGCTCTATAATGCATTATTATCAACTATTGAACGGGCCTCGCCGATAGGGGGGTACTGTACCCCCCTAACTTTCGATAGCGGGGGACCTGTCCCCCCCGTCCCCCCCGGTGGCGCCGCCCATGCAGAAACTGCTCAAGCTGAATGTGTCGGGAGCCCTGGGGCCTGATGGACTGCATCCCAGGGTGCTTAAGGAACTGGCTCCACAGATCGCTGTTCCTCTGTCCCAGCTGTTCAATGCTTGCCTCCAGACTTCTAGTGTCCCAGATGAATGGCGCCATGCTGTGGTAGTACCTATTTTCAAGAAAGGATCAAAACAGTCAGCAAGCAACTACAGACCGATCAGTCTAACATCCATTATCTGCAAGACCATGGAAGCAATCATGCGAGACAAGTTAATGGACCATCTTGCCATGAACAATCTGCTTAGTCCACACCAACATGGGTTCCGCCCCAGTCACTCCTGTAGCACCCAGCTACTGGAAACAATGGACGCCTGGACCAAGATTATTGAAGACAAGCAACCATTGGATGCAGTATACCTGGACTTCAGAAAAGCATTTGATTCTGTGCCCCATGGCCGACTTCTATTGAAACTTCAGGAACACGGCATCGATGGGAAACCCCTGGGCTGGATAAGAGCTTTTCTTACTGATAGAACTCAACAGGTCCGGGTTGAAGGGGCAGTGTCCACACGAGCTAGAGTAACAAGTGGAGTACCTCAAGGATCTGTGTTGGGACCTCTTCTGTTTCTTATCTACATCAACGACATACCAGACCACATCTCTTCCAGTATCAAGTTGTTCGCTGACGACTGCAAAGTGTACCATCCAGTATACTCTTCCCAGGCTAGCGATACACTGCAAGAGGACTTGAACAAACTCGGAAACTGGTCGAGCCAGTGGCAACTCCCATTCAATCTTGACAAATGCCATGTCCTTCGCGTAGGCCCGGGCAACCCGAACACGACGTACATGATGTTGGGAAGACCCCTGAAGACCACTGAGAGCGAGAGAGACCTGGGAATCATTGTCGATGGCCTGCTAGACTTCCACCAGCAGACGGCAGCAGCTGTCGCCAGGGCGAACAGAATCCTTGGTATCATCAAGAAGTCTTTCGCAAACCTCGACAAACAGTCCCTGCCAGTGCTCTTCAGGTCTCTGATCCGGCCACACCTTGAGTTCAGCAACTGTGTCTGGGGACCCTTCTCAAGAGGAGATCAAAGGCTAGTGGAAAGGGTTCAGCGCAGAGCAACCAAGATAGTACCTGAGTTACGTCTGAAACCCTATTCTCAGAGACTTCGTCTGCTCGACCTACCGTCGCTAACTTACCGCCGGCTTCGAGGCGACATGATAGTTATATACCAGATCCTCCACGGCGCCATGCAGGTTCAAGAAGGGCTTCTCCGCCTCGCCGAGACCAGAACCACTCGAGGTCACCCCTTCAAGCTACACAAGCCCCATGCCATCTCCAGAGCAAGACGGAGCTTCCTGAGCGTCAGAGCAGTGAACAGTTGGAACAGTCTGCCTCTACACGTCGTCTCTGCCCCCTCTCTCAATGCCTTCAAATCCCGAATCGACATCCACTGGAAAGCGATCCGCTTTTCCTCCGTCTTCGACAACTGATACCAACCAGTACCTACAGAGCGAGTACTTACAGTAAAGATCCGGTCCAACAGGCCTATATATATAGGCCTCAAAATTCCGTGTACACCTAAGGTAAGGTAAGGTAAGGCAAAGTATTGCTGGTAAAAATGCATCCTAGCTTCAGTATAACTGGCCTGGCAACATCCGCCCTCACCTGAAAGCCTCTTGATTGCTGATTTGCTATGATTTGAGAAGCAAATCCATCTTCTTACTCTATGCAGGATAGTCGCATCATCATTATTAAATATATCAGAACGTGCACTGTGCAGTGAAACACAAACAAAACTCAAACAGCATCGCCTCAGGAAATAAGGCAAAATAACGTGGCGAGCATTGGCGCAGCAGCTACAATGAATGATGGGCCAATGACGTATGAAAACTGGTCGTCTTTCAACCAATTGAAAATAAGTGCACACATTCAGTTTGAAACATTTGGGACAATTTGAAAACATTATCAATATTTCAGAATGTATAATTGTTTAGGTATTCTCATGGTATTTTGATAAAAAAATCTTCTATGATATAAACAGCGACTTCAAAAGCGAACATTTTATACAAAATTATGACGTAATATATCAGCATCTCTAAAGCCGCAGCAGAAACGATCCGAAAAGGGAAAACCTCAGTGTTGCGTGGAGCGTAGGATTTTCCTGGGGACTTGGGGACTTCCAAGGGACTTCCCGCGCTGGGAATCCCCGGTCCTGGTAAAGTGCAGTGCAGGGCCGTATAAGAAGCGTGCCAGTGAAACTATGGGCGGAACTCAACCAAAACTGATGCAAGCTCAAACGTGATGCGCGAGTTTTCCGAACCCATTGCCAAGTCCTTTCGCGTTCTGTGAGATTCTCCGTTTGTGTAGCTAAGTGGTGCCGAACGGATTTCTTTCCATATTAAAGCCAAGCCCTGCATCTCAAAGCTGTTGAAATACCGGTCTGACGCAGCTACTGACTATCGAAGGGCGGTCCCATGGTAAACACAAATAGCTACTTAAGAACGCCCCTATGTAGACTCCGGCCATCTGTAGAAACCGCATCCAGACATCTGGCGCATAATCCATATCACCTGAAACTGTATTGCATGTTAGATCTTTGAATGCTGGGAACGAGGTAACTGGTGGTGATAAAGAACACCATTTCGTCATTTGTCGAATTGGCAGCGTATCACAGCTCACAAGCTCAAAGTGAGCTACAAGAAGCAGTGTCAAATGGCGTCCCGCGAACGAATGCAAACGACGGTAACACCGGGAGTAGTATCGCTATCGCAGGTTGCACATCACCGACTCCGCCACCGACCCGTACCACTCGCCTATCACCGAGCTGCCAGAGCTGAGCCCCCACAGCGGCCCGTTCACTGTCCGGGCGGGACCGACTGCACGCGGATCCGGCCCGCCTCGGTCACGGTAGTCATCCCCATCCTGCGCAGCTCCTCGGCGGCCGCCGGCGCCACGCTCTCCATCTTCAGCTCGCTGATCTCGCGCTGGTTCTCGGGGCACAGTTCGCACAGGTTTCGCACGGCCACCACGGCCCACTGCTGCAGCAGCGGATTGCGCGCGTCCAGGTTACAGCACTCGAGGACCACGGGGATGGCCCGGCAGCGGCGCGCCGCGTGCTGCGCGGACGGCCGCCGCCACACCAGGTTCCCCAGCAGGCGCACCAGCTGCGCCTTCAGGCCGAACGTCGGCTCGGCGCTCAGCTCCTCGGCGGCGCCGGTGCGTTCCAATTCGGCCAGCTTCCCCAGCGTGCTGAACGCCGTGCCCTCCTCCTTGCTGAGTTCGTGGACCTCGCGCAGGATGCGCACCACCGCCTCCAGCAGGACGTCGTCCTTCTGCAGCACCGGCCTGAGCCGGTCCTCCGCCGACAGCACCCCCAGCAGCTCCAGGATCTTCTTCATCTCGATCGGATCGGCGGCCGCCACCGGCGACTGAGAGCGCGTCAGGAACCGCTCAGAGAGGAAGGTGGCAGCCTCGGCGGGCAGCTGCAGCCGGCCGGCCTCGCACGCCACCAGAACCAGGTCCAGGAGAACCGCATAGTGCACCTCCGACACGGCACGGTACACGGACACAAAGTCGGCGGCGCACAGCTCCTCCACGCAGAACAGCGCGAACTCCGAGTCTAGTGTCACCAGCATCAGCAGCATGGAGACCAGCGAGCCGAAGTCGGGCCGCGCCTGCAGACTCGCGCGCACCTCTCCGTTACCCTTGACCGTGTTGAACATCAACGTGGCGGCATACGCAGGTAGTTTCTCGTCGTTTGTCGAGAGAAGCTCGAGGATCTGATCCTGAAGAGCCTCCCAGACGGCGGTCTGTGCCGACTGGCCGGCTGACACCATGTTCCCCAGGAGCTGGACGGCGCAGCGGGCCGCCACCAGCCGCGGTTCAGAGTCGCGCGGCCGGCGCAGCAGCGCGGCCAGGTATCCAATCAGCTCCCTGTCGGCGGCCAGTCGCTGCCGGTGCTCCGCAGACACGGCGGCCGCGTTCCTCAGGCAGCGTAGCGCCTCCGTCTGAGCCGATACTACGGCCGCGTCCTCTGCCTCCGCCAGCCTGACCAGTGCCGACACAATACCGAGTCCCTCCGCGGACAGACAGTCCGGGTCGGCGCGGAGACCGGCGGTCAGCTCCGCCAGATGATGCTCCGCCTCCGGCCACTCCCCGGCCCTCACCGCGCGCTCAGCAGCCTCAGCACTCATAGTTCTGCAACTGCGTCACCCTCTGGTTCAGCCCGCGGTCCCACTAGCCGCGCGAGCGCCACCTCGCCGGCGGAGAGCAGACGCGCTATGTCCGCCTGGTCTTCCTCTCCGCAGCGCCGCTGGACTCCTAGTTTCCGCTCGAGTTCGGTAAGCTGAGAGACGCTCTCCCCGGCCTGTTCGGTGAGCTCGGGGCGGTCTTCGCGCAGGTGAGATACCGCGATCGCAGCACTGGCGACAGATAGACGAGGGACACGATCAGAACGTATGACAGTGATGAATGCCACTTACAAGCGGTCAGAGATGTGTCAGCTACGGTGAAGGCAAGCATCATATTAAAAAATGAGGCACAATTAGTTCGTAAAATAACAGTTTAGTACCCATCATTCACATTATATAGGTAATTGTGCTCAAGGACCCCTCATGGCAAATTGCTTGAAACATGGCCAGCTTTCAAGCAGGTGATCTCCACCGGTCAACCTCCCGAGGCAGCAGCAAAAGTCGCAGCAGACTCACCAAAGCCGCCCTCTGAGCTGCGCGATCGGCCAGACCCGTTCCAGACCGTCCTTGTAGCCGACGTCAAAGTGCTGCTGCAGGTTGGACTCCTCGCCGTCCGAGCGGCCCTCCCTGTAGGCGTCCTACAGAAGAGCCCGAGTGGCACGTCAGTTACAATATCCGCAGGAGGGTGACAAGTCATTTATAGCTCACATGCTGACGATTAAGTAGGTAAGAGGAGAGACAAAACAAAGACGATTGGCAAGCGTGAAGCGGTATTTCAGCTGTTATTTTATCGCAGTACTACCCATTTCAAAGGACACCTCGTGCGATTTTGCCTCATTTCCCATACCAACGTAATCGTATTTACAGACATAAACAAATGGACATTTTATCGCAAACTTCATGATGGCGTGCACTACCCATTTCAAAGGACACCTCGTGCGATTTTGCCTCATTTCCCATACCAACGTAATCGTATTTACAGACATAAACAAATGGACATTTTATCGCAAACTTCATGATGGCGTGCACCGCATGATCTCGTGACAAAGCGCGCACCCGAAATCATTTGCGCAATGCACACGGTATAGTTCGTCTCGTCCTTTGTTCCGTGCGGGGACGTACCGTGAGCAGCCGCCGCTGAGCCTTCTGCCAGTCCTTCCTCTCCAGCTCCAGTAGAGCCGAGTCGTCAGCGCCGTCCTCCATCCATTCAGCGGGGAGACCGGGAGATAATCAGACCTGAAACGGAGGCACACATGTCAGGGAAGCATATGTGGCAGAGGAAACGGGGGAAAATGTCAAAGTTCGTAGTGTGATCTTTCTGGGTGGCTGGGGTCGGGGAAGTCAAGAGACCTTGTGCCCTTGTCTGTATAAATTGCGAGCAGTGATGCCCTTGCACCTGGTTTGCGAAAACAATCAGACTACTGGTAGTTTAAACTACCAGTAGTCTGATTGTTTTCGACTGTCTGTCGGTGGAGGGACTCGGTATCGTGTCGGCCCTGGTCAGTGGAATTCCAGTGACATGGATTATCAAAGCCAAGATTAATGTGAGCCGCCGTCAATCTGTGGGTCGTTTTCCCCGTTCTGATCGGAGCGCATTGTTTTCACTTTTGGCTCCTATGCGCGTATTTTCACCCTAACCAGCCAGCACAACCCCGCAATTTCACTACGAAGTGGAATTCGTAGATATTTCCGTTGTCCATTGTCATGCGACACCCAAAGAAGAGTCAATAATTGGTGTATTGACCTTAAAACATGCAATATAATTTGCATTGCATCGCATCATCACCAGATAGGCATTGCACCAGCCACCATTAGAGCTATCCAGCAGCTTGCGACGCGCGACCAGAACCCTTTTAGTAAAGTTATCACTTATCGCTATTATCATCTTGGACGGACCAGGCATGTACAGACTTTAAAGTCACATTGCAATATAAATGCCTTCTTGTTGTTCCATCTAACACATTTCATGTGCAGTTAGACCCGTAATATGTCAGCGCTTCCTTTATCTTTCGGCATAAATCTACCACGTCCGCATTATGCACCTCATCGCACACACAATCTACGTCTCTGCTGGCCTGCGGCATTAACATTTTTATCTACCCGTCACCGCTTATTGCCATGAAACACCAGTATAGGCCGGTGTATACCATCCATCATTCGTAGTAGGTACCGTAAAACGACAAACAACTTAACAGAATTATGTCCACTACATGTTAAAAGCACATAAGCTTAGCGATTTAGCGATCCCAGCGCGTTTACCCCAGTTTTGTCCTATCTATCAGCAGCATGCTCAGTCGTTTCACGGAAAGTTCCGTTCGTCGCTATCAGTTCAGAACTTCAGGTATTTCTCTAGATCGGCCAGCCGGGGACACAGGTGCGCCGGATCGACCCCCGCCTCTGGCGGCACCGACCCCACCAGAACCGCCTCCCAGCCGGCGGCACGCGCAGCCTCGTAGTCCAGTCTCACACTGTCACCCACGTGCGTGCAGCGGTCAGCACCCGCCGAGCGTCGCGCCAGCTCGAAAATCCGCTGGTCGGGCTTGCAGAACGGATGCTCGTACGACGCGATCACAAAGTCAAAGTACTGGCTCAGCTCGAACCGTTCCAGCAACCGGTGCAGGCGCGGGTCGAAGTTGGACACGACGCCGAGTCGGATGTCGCGCGCGGCCAGTCGCTCCAGCAGTGGCACGGCCCCCTCGGCCGTGCGCCAGCACTCCACGCCGGCGTAGTCGGCCAGGAGGCGGTCGGCCACGGCGCCGGCCGTCTCGGAGCTCGGCGGCGCCGCGCTGGCGTCCGTCAGCACTCGGCCCACCAGCGTGGTCCACCAGCGGCGCCAGCCGCCGGCCAGGCCGCGCCCGAAGTTGGGCTCCTCCGCCAGCAGTGTGCGGAAGTGGTGCCGGAACGAGCGGTCGGCCTCGGGCGCCGAGACCACGAGTCCGTGCCGGCCGGCCACCGCCGCGTAGTAATCCCCCGGCGAATAGCGCAGCCGGATCAGCGTGTTGGTCGCGTCAAACGTGACTAGGCGACTCATGGTGGTGCTACAGACGACCGCAGACGTCCTCCTGCAGCAGGATCTGAGTTAATGGAACACAGTCCAAGGTCTTGGCTCCAAACTGTGAGATGTATAGCTGGCTTGGCTTCTGGCTGGCACAGATGACAGGTGTTGGTGACCAAAGCTCTCTAGGCTAGGTGGGCATGACCATTTTGGCAACAATAAAATAATATATTTGCTCCTTTTGCTGAAGTCTGCACCTTGACCTTCACTAATAAATATATTTAATGACAATTAGAGTGTAGCAGTTGGCTACACTTCTTTGCTTCACAGCAGCATTGGTATAATTTTCATGACAGCCATTATTCACTAGACTACCATAAGCAAAAGAAAAAAGCATTGCCATTTCCTATGTTAACACCATAATAAAATAAGTCAGTATACTGTGTAGGTAGGTAGGTAGGTAGGTAGGTAGGTAGTTTAAGGTACCCAGTAAGTTACTACCTACTCACCCTCACAGGGCATCATTTAATAGACTTATGCTTCAAGTAAATTACACACTTTCAGCTGTGCATAGGTGGAGTTGAAGAAATTGAAGTGCCATGCTCAGGAATAGAGCTAGCTAGACTGCGAGACAGGCTTATTAACCTGTAAATTAGACGGGCAGACAAATTCATCCAAATCACGTACCATGAATTATTATTATTATTTCTATTATAAATGTTATTATTATTGTTGAGTATCGATGACAGGTTGGATGATGATGTAAATAATAAACCAAATTATTACAAATGCATTCAAATATATTCAAAAAGACACACAAAGCTTTCGGTTCATGGAACCTTGATCACTGTGCAAATGAGTATACCAATCGCTGTAACCGTCTAAAAATTCTTTGAAATTAATCAGCCGCGTGTTTTCTTCTTCTGCTGGTCTACCACCGATTTTGCTGCCATTGACGACCATGTGATAAATCCGTCATTGTCTGCTATTTGACCATGTCAAAATAGCAGACAATGAGCCAAGCTATTTACCAAGAAGGTACATGAAAGCCTTGAAAGAGTTGGCTAATGATAAAAACATAGTTGTGACACAAGCGGACAAAGGAGGGGGAATAATAATCATGGACACGAAAAAGTACGACGAGAAAATGGGAGAAATGCTCGATGATGAAACAAGCTACAGAAAGATGAAACCAGGGCACGGCAAAACCCAAGGAGAAAGTTTCAACAAAAATGTGAGAAAAATCCTTAAAAAATCAGAACGAGGAAAGAAACTGTACCATTTACTCGAAGAAGCGCCAACTCTACCCAAAATGAAAGGCTTACCAAAAGTCCACAAAGAAGGGATGCCGATGCGACCTATAACGTCTGGAATCGGAAGCGCACCTCACAGGCTAGCCAAAGTGCTAGCCAAACCTCTTTCTAGATCTCTTGGTTCCATAAGTGACACCCACATCAAGAACACGTCGGAGATGATGGACAAAATTAGTGAAGTGACAGATGTAAGTGACAAAAAGGTAGCAAGTTTTGACGTTAAGTCTTTATTTACAAACGTCCCAGTTGACGATGCATTAGAGGCGATAGGAAAAGTAGTCGAACGCATGGCCGACGACGAACTACCTCTTCCGAAAAACGACTACCTAGAACTTTGTCAAAATATGCATGAAATTCAACTGCTTCTCATACAAAGGAAATGAATACGCCCAACACAGTGGGCTTGCAATGGGGTCCCCATTAAGCCCAGTAGCAGCATGTCTTTTTATGGAAGTACTCGAAGAAGAGCATTTTCTCAAAATTATTGGTGACGACTCTACTTGGCTTAAGATACGTAGACGACGTACTAGCAATCATTCCGAAAGAAACTGACATTTCTGAAACACTGAACAAACTGAATGCTGTTCATCCAAACATACAATTTACAGTTGAAGAAGAACAAGAAGAAAAGATGGCGTTTTTAGATACATGCATCGTAAAATCAGCCTCAGGCTTCAAATTCAAAGTCCACAGAAAACCGACAAACAAAGAGGATTATGTGCACTTTTACTCAGCACACAGTCAAAGGACGAAAAGCGGAATAGTTATCGGTTTCTTTCTCAGAGCGCTAAGAATCTGCAGCGATGAATTCATTCAGGAAGAGTTCAATCATATTTATACTTCGTTCGAAAAACTGAAATATCCCAGAGGATTTTTAATCAAACAAAAAGAAAAAGCCGAAAAAATCAAAAATCGAAGAAACGAACAAAACAGAAGAAACGAACAAGAAACGAACCAAGCGCAAAACGATGACACCAACAGAAGACTCGAACAACGTACGAACCAAGCACACGGAGATGAGACCGACAGAAGACACGAACGACGCGCGAACCAAGCAAACGGCGACGATGCCAACAGAAGAGACGAACAACGTGCGAACAAAGCACACGAAGATGACACGAGAAGAAAAGCCAACAAAAGAAAGAGATGGATTTCGGTCCCAAATTCGAAAAATATTGATATCATAGTAAGAGCACTTGAAAAGTCAGATATCAAAGTAGCTACAGTAACAGGAAAGAAAACTCAAGATTTAGTCAAGCACCATGAAACCAAAAAAGATACCAGTGATGAAAAAAGTGTAGTTTACGAAATACCATGCAAAGGGTGCCAAAGAACGTACGTTGGGGAGACGGGAAGAGGGGTGGAAGTTCGTTTGAAGGAACACAGAAGCGATGTAAAATTTCACCGAACATCAAATGCAATAGTACTGCATATAGAAAAGTATAACCACTTACCTGACTGGGACGGCACGAAGATATTAGAAAACAATATAAAGAAAGGTACAAGGAAGGTCCTGGAAGCAGCCCACATCATCACACGTGATACGTTTAACAGTAGGAGCGGATTTATCACATGGTCGTCAATGGCAGCAAAATCGGTGGTAGACCAGCAGAAGAAGAAAACACGCGGCTGATTAATTTCAAAGAATTTTTAGACGGTTACAGCGATTGGTATACTCATTTGCACAGTGATCAAGGTTCCATGAACCGAAAGCTTTGTGTGTCTTTTTGAATATATTTGAATGCATTTGTAATAATTTGGTTTGTTATTATTATGATTCCAAGGTGAAGGGAGACTGAGACAGTGAACAAAATAGAATAATGACAATTGTTGAGGAAGTCAAAGTAGCACAGTTTGAGGTGACAGGCATAGAAATAAGGTGAAAGGCCATTTTTTACTATCAAAACCCCTATTGTACTTACAGTCCAGCATTCAACAAATCCCTCAGAAATTCCAAGAAATAGTAGTATATAGGACCTTGGAATTTATTATCAAACAGTTTTCTCTAGCTTGACAACACTTGACAAATAAGCGAATTGTCGCATTTGTCTATTCTCATGTAAGCCTTCAAGTAATCGATCAATAAAATGATGACGACAAAAATTAAGAGAGTGCTACTGACTCTCTAGCAAGTTGAAATTTTCAATAGAAGCCTTCGATTGCTTTATAAAAGAATGACGTCATTGATTTCTTCTCCAATGACTTGAGAGCTATGAGTAAAGTGCATGAAACTGCATGAAACGGTAAACAGGACATGCCTAAGAGCTGGACTTTTTGCACGCGTTCCCCGCCAGGGGGCGCCACTGAGGAAGCACCCTCTGACGTCACGATAAAACTGCGCGCACTGTGCGCACGGTTCTGTAAGCAAGTAATATAGTGGTGGTTTCGTGGTGGAAATTGGAATAAGTATTTTTACGTTGTAAAATTTCAAGCCGTTTTTGTGAAATTATTTAGTAAATACATTTCAAAAGTATTTATTTAAAGTCTGAAAGGAGAATAGTTAGAAGAACATGGATATTTTTGTTCCAATAGCTTATTATGTGAGACATGATCGGTACTAACGGGTACTTCTAAGAAGTAGTGAAGAAGTACCAAACAGCCTGCTCGGCTACGATCGTCAGCTGTCCTTTGGAGCTGGACTTCAACGCTGTAAAAAAAATGTGTGCTGAATTAATTTTTAGTTTCACCAAAATATAAGCAATTTATCATTTCCTTTTCACTTTTGTAATTATTGTTGAGTGAAGAGACATGTCGCTAAGTCTGACAATATAAATTATTAATTAAAAATAACGAAATGCGACGGTAAGTATCTGCTACTAAATTATCACTTGAACCAAATACATGGAGAATCTTGCTCCCATTGCTTATAAAACGTGCTTATCAATACACAAATGTTTTATTTCAGACAAGAAGGATTTATTTGCCTGAAGTCTTGCGTCATGTGTTACTGTTTTGATTCCAAAGACGCTCTCCGGGTCGGGGTAATTTAGTTCTTCATCGATCGATAAGATTTTGATTCCATTGGCATCCAAATTGATAAGCTCAGCACCATGGAGTAAGGGCGTCCCCACAGGGGTGACGCAGGAAATATGAATGGCGTTTACACCGACAGTAGTTTCCCACAGCCGGCAATGGGAATCTCCTGTCGGTGTAAACGCCACTATAGTCCCATCCAACTCAAACACTGGGGAATATCCCCGCACTTTTGAGGACGGAAATCTATGGACCTGCTCGAAAAATAGTGGATAAAATACGGCGAGCTTTCAGTTTTATGGTTGGGTCTCCCTTCCGAGGCACATATTTACGGGGGATATTGGGTCATATTCCCCCGGCGTCCTGATGATCGGCGCCCATCTCAACGTCGAAGGCGCCCTGATACGCGGCACTGCTATCTGTGAAGGTGCCCAGGTTGCTGCCGCTCGAATTTTGGTCGCCTACTTAACAAAACCTCCGTTGGTGCCATCTCAGTTTCCTGGAGGTCAGGCAACCTTCACACGCCGTTGGCTACCTTGGCTGGCCGGCGACTCGTTCCCCTCGTGGCGACGCTCTTGACATCCAGTCAAAAGTTGGAGTGGCTGGCGCCCCCAGTGGGGGCCGGGGAAGGGGCAGTGGGCCTCCACGTTGCTCTCTTCCCGAGCCTATGGTGACTTGGCTCAACTCTCCTCAATAGAATCTGGATTCTGCACGCTGTATTAACATGGGCGTAGACACCACTACGGACAATACGGGCAGTGGGTGTGACAATCAGTAGTGCCATTCATATAGAGGGTGTCATATATGAGCGGAGAGGCAACAGTACAGCTGAGCGGAGAGACAACATTAAAACAACAGTACAGCTGGCGTTGCATGGAGCTGCAGGCAACTGGACAGCGGAGGCTTGCGAAAAATAAACAATTCGTCACTTCAACGTGTAAACAATAGGATAAAAAAAACATAAACACAGATTCTCATGGTCGAACCCATGCACTAGCGGCTCACGGCGGGCACAGGCACGCAGTGCGGTAGCGGTACCGGATCACACGTCATGGGCGTTGTCTCAGCATAGGTTGTTATGAGCGGAGCGGAGAGGCAACAGTACAGCTGAGCGGAGAGACAACATTAAAACAACAGTACAGCTGGCGTTGCATGGAGCTGCAGGCGACCGGACAGCGGAGGCTTGCGAAAAATAAACAATTCGTCACTTCAACGTATAAACAATAGTAAAAGCAACATAAACACATATTCTCATGGTCGAACCCATGCACTAGCGGCTCACGGCGGGCACAGGCACGCAGTGCGGTAGCGGTACCCGATCACACGTCATGGGCGTTGTCTCAGCATAGTTTGTTCGCAATCTAGTTGAAGCCTAAGAAGACGGCCAGTGGGGTCTCACTGCTGCTGAGGCGACCTCGGAGACGATGCGTCGCCCCTCCTGTCGGCGACCTGCGGTGAGCAGGACTCCAGATAGCTGGCTGGCACGTTGCCGACATTGCCAGACGCTGTCAGCAGGCCTCACTGCTGCAAGTGATGTGCAGATGGACGCCAGGTGACTTCGTCTGCAGGCGATTCCGGAGAACGCGGCCTCACCAGGCAGTACCACCTGCATCGCCATGTCGGTGTTTCTAGAAATGGAAAAATAACAGTATCGGTGAAGGACAAGCAATACAATGTATTCTGTTTTCCTCTCTTGCAGGTATACGTAATCTACAATTATCATTGTTCCTATTGCATTCAACTGAACCTGAAAATTCCACATTGGCACATTGTTTGACTAAATTTGTGTAGTTGGGAACAGGGGCGACGCCACGGTACGACGACTGGAGGGGACATTGACCATTTTGGAGGGGATGAGGACCATTTCAAGTCGATTCTTTCCATGCAACGCCATAGGCGTAATGTTAAAATTTTAAAAGGTGGAGGGGACGAGATCCCCTCCGTCCCCCCCCCCCTGTGGCGACGCCCTTGGTTGGGAAGCAGATTGTTTGAAATACATGTTTGGCTGAACAGTTCGGAAAATATTTCATTGATCACTATAGCTGCAACAAAAATAATGAGACAGAAAACATTTGCGCTTACCTGGCTCCTTAGTCAGTCCCGCACAACGGAAGTGGTACCATTTATCGCAGCCGTCGCATCCGACCATCGGTGCTGCAGATGCTGCTACACTCTCCACATTCCCAGTACCTTAGGAGCGTCTTGGCTGTGAAAAGATTACATGAGTCATGGCGCATACATGAATAGTAAGATGTTTTATATGTTTAACATCGCATAGCAAAGACACAACAGCTGGGAGTCAAGTGTAAGCCAAAAGTAAGCCCTGCCATGTTTTGCAGAATGGATTTTAAGCAAGAAAAGCTTTGCTAAAAATGACGCTTGACGAAGCCTCATCCTACTGGGCTGTCTGACATGTCTCCCTGTAAAAAGCATGTGGCCCTTATATTGTATATATGATGAATATGTTAATAATGCAGAGAAAACACAGTGTAAATTATACCCAACGTTTCATCTTAATCGACTTTGTCAAGGGTGTTTGAACAGCTTGAGATGAGTGAAGTGTAAGGGTACCAAGGTACTTCTGAAAATAAACTGAATCTGCGTTCAATAAACATTGATTTTGATAATACATTTCACAAATCAACTGCTAATAACAATCATACTAAAGTAGCACGACAGATAACTAACAATCGCATGAAGAGCTTCTTGATTCGCCTTGACATTGTCGTCCGAACGAATGTTGTCTGTACACATTTGTCTTTTCTGCGCAGCATTTGTGTTTGCCATTTACCGCACCAATGTTCGCCAGCGGTGGTGACTTTTCCTTACCTGCTCACGAAACGTCACACACGACATGACGTCACCCGAAGACGTCATCAAAAAGTCCAGCTCTTAGGCGTGTCCGGTAAACATTGGGAGTAGTGTGTTGTGATTTGGAAATTGTGGTTTTCATGTCGAATAATGTCAAATTTTTGGAATTAAGCTTCCCACGCTTTTAGGTAAGGCCTTTAATATTACACCAAAACATCTGAGGACTGAGAATGACGGGTGTGTATTTTTATGTAGGTTGTGACTTGTGGTATGCTACAATTTTCAGGGGGCTATAAACATGAACACCTTACTCGACTTTCTGCACCATTCTGTGAAGTAAAATCATACAACAATGGATCAGATGACAGTAAGGGTTTAGGGTATATAGGGCCTTGGGGTTTAGTTGGACCGAATCAATCTGGTGCTGTGGACTGCAAAGAAACTTATGGCAGAAGTAACATGGGTACTTGTGTTGGGTGTACCAGTACGTCATACGCACAATGTACGAGTGTGAGTGCTATTTGAATTGACAAAAGAAATGAAAAAACTGACCCTCTGCCACCATTTCAGGTTATTGGCAGCCCATTTTCTGTCTGTAATCATACGTGGTGGCTGGGAGGATGGAGCGTCAAACCAGTGTCAGTTTCATCTGCCAGAGGTGCTCCATGCCTGTGAGACTGGATGACACAATACTCAATCCCAATGAGCATACACTGGCTGAGCTATCATGTAAGTTCCTTAACTCCTAATTTTCTTGCTGGCAGGGATGCGGAGCCGGAGTCGGAGCCGGAGCCGCCGGAGCCGGCATATTTTGCCCGGAGCCGGAGCCGGAGCCGGAGCCGTGAAACAATATAGCCCGGAGCCGGAGCCGGAGCCGGAGCCGCCAAAAAAGGGGGCGACTCCGGCTCCTTTTTATTTTTTGAAGAGGAAAAAAAATAATTGACCTATGTAGTTTGGTTTGACAGTAAAAGGCAGTAAAACATATGGTACTATTGGTCTCAAGATAAGGGCCAAGGCGACCTGTAGTTTTGATGCGGTGAATACCCTCACCCTCGCCACAACTCGAGTGGGGGTGGCGCTGGCTGGTAGGAGAGGTGCACTCGGCCCGAGTTATGGCGAGGGTAAGGGTATTCACTGCATCAAAACTACAGGTCGCCTGGGCCCTTATCTTGAGACCAATAGTACGTCATGGGCCATCAAGTGAATGAAAAAAGCCGAATATCCCCAGCATCCCACAGTACGCAATCAACTTCCTGTCTGCTCCTCCCCCCCCCCCCACGTCTATTGCATCCCCAGAACATGAGGACCGGTCATTAGGTGACGGCCATTGTTTTGAAGCCAGTGCAGTGGACTGCGACTCCCAACACCGTCTCTTCCCACCCCACCCTACCCCCACCCCCCCCCCACTGGCGGATCCAGGGGGGGGCATTTAGGGCCATGGCCCCCCCCAAAGGCCTAAAGTGGCCTGTTTGGCCCCCCCCAAAACGTCAGAAAAATTGCTAAGAAAATACACCTTGATGGAGGTTTTTAGCCACTTGGTGAAGAAAAGCTTTCCACAGCATAATATGGAGGCAATATGGTAGCAGTGAGGGTCAGTCAAAAGTTGCGCGAGCGGAGTTGCCACCTTCAAAAAAAGACTGGTTGGCACGTGTTTATGGCGCGGCAGCTGGTAGTTGGCGGTGTTTCGCGTGGTGTGGCATCACTGGCGGATCCAGGGGGGGGGGGGGCACGGGAGCCTGAGGTGCCCCTGACAGCAGGCCCGTGGTGCCCCTGGACCCTGGCAGGCCTGTGGTGCCTCTGGCGGGCCTAGGGTGCCCCTGCTAGGCTGCTGATGCCCCTGGGACCTGACAGGACTGTGATGCCCCTGACAAGCCTAAAGTGCCCCCAACAGACCCGTGATGCCCCCGACAGGCCCAAGGTGCCCCTGCGTGATGCCGTGATGCCTGCGAGGCCGGTGGTGCCCCTGCGAGGCCGGTGGGGCCTCTGACAGGCCCATGGTGCCCCTGCGAGGCCGGTGGTGTCCCTGCTAGACCGGTGGTGCCCCTGGCAGGCCTGTGATACCCCTGCTAGGCCGCTGGTGCCCCTGGGCCCTGACAGGACTATGGTGCCCCTGACAGGCCCAAGGTGCCCCTGCAAGGCCGGTGGTGCCCCTGTAAGGCCTATGGTACCCCTGCTAGGCCTCTGGTGCCCCTGACAGACCCATGGTGCCCCTGCGAGGCCGGTGGTGCCCCTGGCAGGTCTCTGGTGTCCCTGACAGACCTGGGGTGCCCCTGACAAGCCTGCGGGGCCCCTCACAGGCCCGTGGTGCCCTTGCTAGGCCTGTGGTGCCCCTGGCGGGCTGGTGGTGCCCGGTGCCCCTGCTAGGTCGGTGGTGCCCCTGACAGGCCTGTGGTGCCCCCGGGCACCAAGGGGGTCATGACTCATGTGGCCCCCCTTGGATCTGCCACTGATACGTTATGGCTTATGCAATATGCAATTGCAGGCACTTGGTATCCCTCACTTATCCCTTATTGGGGGCTCTGGCGGGCTCCTGAGGGCCCACGTCTATCTCCGGGAGCCCTAGACGGGCTCCTTTGGGTCCTTTCAGTCCACTATAGCATAAGAGGTCTCCACTCGAGTCCTATACATCTGAGGGCGTACCCTGACGTCTGAGGTACCCAACTGCAGCTCCAATGGTCTCTTACACTGGCGGATCCAGGGAGGGGGCATTGAGGGTCATGCCCCCTTCCCAGAGGCCTAAAGTGGCCCGTTTGCCCCCTCCCCCAAACGATAATGAAACATAGTTCAATCAGTGCGTGGCCCAGGAGCCGAGTTAGACAGGGGGTGTTTTACCACCTCCCGGCCCGCAAAGGGACCCAAGCACTGACTCGAAGCGGGTTAACTGGTCGACAAAAGCAATGGTAAGTGTTTGCAAAGTAATATAAAGGCATGGGTCGGGTGGGCTACCATTTATATATTTTTATTTTTAGTAAAAAAAAAATATTCATAGTGTCAGGGCTGTGACGAAAAATAAGTGGCCTAAATCCGATGAGAAAACAGGATTTGGGGGTACCCTAGGTTTGGCTCCTGCATGAGTTGGCCCCCCCCAAAACGCAAGCCTGGATCCGCCAGTGCCCCCCCCCCCACCCCCACCCCCCAATGCAGCCGAGACGGGTGTCAGCTTACGATGGTTCAGTGAACTCCGATTCGCGGCGACTGCGTTTCCAATGTCCTTTCCAATGCTTTCTAGTCCTTTGTTCTGCCAGTTCTCTCCGAGGTGCGTTTGCGCGGGGACGCGGTGAGCCGGTCATGGCAAAGAGTAACGCGGCCGTATAGTCATAACATTTCGCCACGTGCTTATATACCCTGTTCGCTGATTGCATGTGCTGTTGAGAAAAATAGCCTTAGTTGTTAGTTGTTATGTAAATACAGAAGCTACGTGTACCAATCCAATTTTTATTCCACCCGTATTTAATTGATTGCATAGGAGATGTACTGAGTCGGAGCCGGAGCCGCCGGAGCCGGACCATTTTACTCGGAGCCGGAGCCGGAGCCGGAGCCACCATAACATTTAACCCGGAGCCGGAGCCGGAGCCGGAGCCGATTTTTTTCTCCGGAGCCGGAGCCGGAGCCGGAGCAGTCTGAAATTTCCACGGCTCCGCATCCCTGCTTGCTGGTATAGTAACAAATAACAATCTCATGAGCTCAGCCTAAACTCCAAGTACTGTTGTTGAATGCATATGCCTTCATCCACATTGTTTGATGAAGGAAGTGATAATTTGTTTGATAAGGGAAAGCAAGACTGGATATTATGTCATTTTCTGACTCAGATGATTATGATTTTTTACGGAGCGAGCGAAGCGAGCGTAGTCTTTCCTTAGATTAACGGAAATTTCTGAGTATGAGCGGCCGGCCGGCCGGCCGGCCGGCCGGCCGGCCGGCCGGCCGGCCGGCCGTGGTCACGCTTTTGCGAGGCTTATATCTCAGCAACCACTTGACCGATTTACACGCGGTAATTTTTGTAGGGTAGCTTCATTCCTTCTACCAAGTATTGGACTATTCCTGATGCATGTGGGTGACCCCTTATGCACGTGCCACGTGCAAAACGAAGAGGTGTCCGTTTTGTAATTGTTGCAATATCTCGGTAACTACTTGGCCGATTGCGCTGAAAGTTGGCATGTAGGTAGGCACTTACTAGGCACTGCATATCCATGTGCCAGAGTTGGGGTGCTGCTGCACGTGCGCACGTGCAGGGGTCGTTTCCAGATCTCGAGAACGGCTGGACGGATGGCGCTCAAATTTGGTACATGGTTAGGGACCAGTTAGTAGGGTGCCGTGCACAAGTCAGTTGGGACCCATTTTGCACGTGCGCACGTGCAGGGTGCCGCTCCCAGATCTCGAGAACGGCTGGGCCGATTGTGCTCAAATTTGGCACATCGCTAGAGACCGGTCAGTAGGGTGCCGTGCACAAGTCAGTTGGAGGTACCCCCTCGAAATTTCGCACGTGCAAGACTCACCCCCTCGCTCGCTCCGTTAGTCGCCCCAAAAGGCGCTATACTGGTATTAAGTTAATTGGGTTTGAACAAGTTGTGCCAGTTTTGAAAAAAAATGCACACAACATGAGCAATGTGCAATGTGCATGCCCAAAGTTCACTTGGGCACCCATGTCCAGTCAATAGTGCACATTCAGATGTGCAAACATTCTCAGAACTTCTGTCTGAGAATGTTTGCCCATCTGAATGTGCACTCTTGCCTGAACAAGGGTGCCTGAGTGAATTTTGGGCATGCACATTGCTCATGTTGCATGCATTTTTATTCAAAACTGGCACAACTTGTACAAACCCAATTAACTTAATAAAAATTATTAAATGTGACATTGTTAGTTCCCATCCAACCCTGCTCAGAAATAAACTTTTTGGCGTCAGTTTCGATATTCGATCTTATCCGCCCATTATCAGTCATTCAGCCCTATTGTCGATCTTCGATCTTTTACCGACCGTTTATCGATACGTTGGGGCCAGTCCGAACCCTTCATCTTTTCCCGTATCGATTTCGATCTTTCTGTGCCCGCACGGTGACTCGCCACTTCTGTGGGCGCGTAATGTGCGCGCACAGTGCCCGAATCACTACCCGTGATTACTGTCGGTAATAACTACACACTTGACAGAGGTAGTGGAAGACTTGTCTGCCTACACTCCGAGGTTTCGTCGAACTCTGCTTTGTTTTAGCAGACTAGGCATATTTTCGTACCTACGTGACGTGTCTTGGTGTGATGCACGTTTTTTGTTAGAACAACGAGTTAATCAGTCTCACTCTCTTTCATTACTGTATAATAGCCCCAAGTATACAGTTTTAGCTAGTTATAACCGATAAGCTCCCTCCGCAGTGCCCATCTACCCGGCGACCGAGTCGGACCTGGGCTCCGGGGCGGGCTCCTTCGACAAGGTGGTGCCGCCGGTGCGATGGACCGAGAGCTGCGGCTCGAACCCGGCCGCCGGCGGCGGCGCCGACTCCACCGGCTTCACGGTGCTCTCCGACCCGGGCGTCACCCCCTCCGGACACCTGTCGCACAAGGTCAAGGTCAGTGACAGTCTGCCCCTAAATCCAGTCTGCCGCATAAGGTCATTGTCATGTTAGAGAAGCGTCACTTTTGAGGCTCCTTATTAACCCCGCGTTCGATCTCCTCGGACGGCGAAGATTCTACGTCGTCCGGCCAATCCCGTTCAAGGTTAGCGGGGGCTCGGCTGCGGTTATGGAACTTGATTGGCCGGACGACGTAGAACCTTCGCCGTCCGAGAGACATCGAACGCGGGGTAAATGAAGCATTGTTTTATAAAGCACCGTCATCGTTTAACAGCCTACATCGATAGGTGGGACCCGTCAACTTGGTTGTAAGCAAATTTCTTTATCACTTAAGATCAAAATATCGTCGAAGGCATCGTTCTGGCACGGACGACTTCCGTCAAATAGCAAAGAATATCGTGAGAATGTAATACGTCTTCTTGTACTAGTTTTGATAAATCTTGTACTTAACATGATCTTCAAACAATATAGCAGTTCGTGGCATCGAACTTTAGATGGCCCCACTGCGGTCTGTTTTGTCGTCAGATGGCGGCCACTCTGTTCGACATGCTGTCCACGAGTACCGAGGTGGACCACCCGATGTGCGAGGAGTGCACCGACCTGGTGACGGACGGCCTCGAGGAGGAGCTGGTCACCGTCCGCAAGGAGGCCGCCCTCTACCGCGAGTTCGTGCAGAAGCTGAGGCGCGAGCCGCCGGCAGATGACGGCGAGGCAGCGCTGGACGCCGAGCTGGCCAAGGTGCGCACGCTGCGTCCGCTGGTGCGGGGGAGGGGCATATTCGTCACGTTAGCTAAGACTCGTAAGACTCAGACTTAAGTCCTTCTTTTGTAAGTCACAGTCACAGACTTACAAAGGAAGCAGTTATCTAATGTCGACGACAGCTTTGTTTCCTGTCTGCTGCCTGTTGTCTTTCCTGCTGGACAGCCTTTGAGTGTGGTCAGGCTTTGTGTTTACTCGCCGTCCTATACCAAGCTAGCCTATGTTACTCTCGTCTGTAGGGTGAATTAGTTTCCATAGCCTGTGTGCCCCCTATCCGGTCTCCTCGTCTCCCTCTCCCCTCCGAGCCGGCCAACCTGACCGCACTGGAGCTCACCACCGCTGTCTGTCCACAGCTGGCCACCGAGGAGCAGCAGCTGCTCGGTGAGCTGCGCACCCTCAAACAGGAGGAGCAGCAGCTGCAGCACGAGCTGGAGCAGCAGGACAAGGAGAAGGAGCGGCTCGAACAGGAGGAGGAGCAGTTCTGGAGGGAGTTCTGCACATACCGCAAACAGCTCATCGTTGCAGACGAGGACTATCGCAGGTAGGGCGGGCAGCGAGGGAGTAACTTTGCATAGATCACATACTGCAGACAAGGCATAGTCCATAAACCTGATAATTGGTCGTGGTTTTGGTAGATTTATGGTGGTAGGTAAATTTAATTAGTCTAGATCAGGAAACGCTTAGTCTTTTTTCGTCTTTGAGCTGCAAATGTCAATAACAATTGGCCCATATTACGCATCTGGCCCGCATATGGGCTCGCCTCGATTCCAATATTTCGTCGGTCGTCTACTTGGCGAATTATTGAATATATTTCCTGCAGTTTGTCCAACCGCTTGGACTACACCACTCGGCAACTGGAGAAGCTGAAGAAGACGAACGTCTTCAACGCCACGTTCCACATCTGGCACAGTGGCCACTTCGGCACCATCAACAACTTCCGGTGCGCGGAAGGCATGCTTTCTCAGCTTTGTGATTCGGTATTTTGACACTTTTTGCAACGTTATATTTGCGTGTGGAATTTTCACCCTCAACAATCGATTAAACTAGGTGGAATGACATAAGTTGTGTTTGCATTCCGGGCTTTACAACGACTTATCTGTCGGTTTTGGCTATAGGCGTCCAGTTTGTTGCGTCTTGATGACCCTCATCGAACATGCTACTACCGCTATTGTGACAAAGTCGCATTGACTAGATATTTTCCGATTCCAGGCTGGGCCGCCTGCCCAGCGTTCCCGTCGACTGGTGGGAGATTAACGCTGCCTGGGGACAGACCGCCCTCCTGCTCACCGCACTCGCGCGCAAGATCGGACTCCAGTTCTCAAAGTACAAGATCGTGCCTTTCGGAAACCACTCTTATGTGCAGGTGAGCTATCGGTAGACTGATCAATAGGAGACTGAACTTGTTCATGATTGAACGCGCTTACTGATACTGCATTGATTGAAGCATGCGTAACATTTTTAATAACGATTTGATTTATGATACGGATGTAAACGTAGCAGTACGCTTTTCGACATGGGGCGGGGTCGTTGGACATTCTCCACACTGTTGATAGAATTGAATCAACTACACCCAACCTCGCGCCAGAACGACTCCTTTTAGAAATCAGTATCGTATCTCCGTGTCGTGACGGTCCCATTCTCTTTTCCCCATGCTCAGGTGCTGGCGGATGGCCGCGAGCTGCCGCTGTACGGCGCCGGCGGGTTCAAGTTCATCTGGAACCCCAAGTTTGACGCCGCCATGGTGGCCTTCCTCGAGTGTCTGCAGGAGCTGCAGGTCAGGCTCCGGTTGTCGCAGGTCGCACCCATGAAGGCTAATTGTCGTTGAGTTTGATTTTTGACGAAATGTGGCCAGCTTTGACGTTCTACTCCTTGTGCACAGGAGAAAATAGAATCCGGCGATGCAAAGTTCCGTCTGCCGTACAGAGTTTCAAAGGGGAAAATCGAGGATCCTCAGGCGGGCACCGCATACTCTGTCAAGTAAGTACAGGGTGTCCGAGAAAGCGCCACCCATTGAATACAGTAGGTTTAGGGCTTGAATGGTGGCATGAATTTCGGTATATTGTGCCTGGAGGCGGTAGACTGAGCTCAGCAACTATCGCTGGTCATCGGTTGAATTATGATGGATAGGTGCGTGCCTGCGTATTTAATCACTTCTGACCAACCATACATCGTCCATGCTCTATGACAATCGCGACTGTGCCATACTGAGGTCGGGGGGAGTGTGACTGACTTCGCTCTCACCAACACCGCCGTCTCTGTGCCCAGGATCCAGCTCAACTCGGAGGAGCACTGGACCAAGGCGCTCAAGTACATGCTGACCAACCTGAAGTGGGGCATCGCCTGGGTGTGCGCCGACTCGACGCTGGGAGAGCTGGCGCCGCCCGAACCCGGCGAGCAGACGTAGACGGACACCGTCACGGCGCAGACGGACCAACGTCATGGTGAAGGCGGACGTTACGGTGCAGACGGACCAACGTCACGGCGCAGGCGGACCAACGTCACGGCGCATACGGTCGTGGAAGCTGAACGTCGCGACGGTGAAGAATGATGTGAGAGAGATGGATATCGGGACTTAACGACCGTGGTGTGATCTCTGTCAGAACTTTCGAAGCTGGCGAGAGATTACAGTCGGAGAAGCGAACACGGGGTGGGGAGAGTGGCTGGGGGGAGGAGGAGGGGACTCTCGGCTGTCTTCTTGACGGTCGAAGGCGCCGCCGAGACGTCTGGTCCGGTGGCTGGCTGTGATGAAGTTCGTTTGCAGCTTGTGGGTAGTGACTGATTACCCCTTCAGATTGGTCTCAGTCACAAGAGTGGCTGCATGGACTTGAGCTCTGGCCCAGTGGGCCGTCGTGGTTCGTACAGAGGACGGGCGGGATTTGCCGGTTGTTTGCCGTGTAACATTTAGCCTATCCTATACTATAATGCATGAATGCGAGGTATTCTTGGTATCGCTGTGTGATGACTGCTGCGGTGTGTATGTATTCCATCAGCCGTGGGTTGTGTGCTTTCAGATGGAGTTTGATTACCGTTTAAGAGGAGTAAATAGGCCAGTGTGTACCGATTGGGGAGATAAGTTGCGCCCATACATACCATTTAGAAGTAAAGTGTATATTTGCAGTACTATGGTTAGGATTTTGTCATCATGACTGTTGAACGCATGTTTGTCACGTGTGAAATTATATCCAGTGGTGTTTGCTGTACGATGTTAGTATAACGAGTGATTGTTTGCCCCGATGAAATGTACAAATGTCAACGAGGTGTGTGGAATATATTCCTATCTGTGCGTATGCGTTGACGTTTCTAGAACCAACTTTCTTACATTTCAAAAAATGGGAACCAATGTCTTCGCCTCGGGGATCAGTGGTATGGTAAGGGGATGCAGCGAGTTCTGCCTGTTCTCGGGATGAACATCAGGAATGGAGATGCCGGTTTTGGTGGTGAACCCGTAAAAAAATATTTAATATTTGTTAAAATAACAATGAAATAATATAAATAACGGACGCTGAATGATATGCAAAACAAAATTGTAGTACCTACTGTGCCTGTCTAGTTTCTCCTCAGGCTCCTCAGTACGGGCATTTCACTGGGACATTTTATAATCAAATCCTCAATCGGCGAGCAAGTATTGAACTTTGAATTTTGGGACTATTTCACTTTTTAGGAAACTGAAAACGGGGTATGATGAATTGAAATGAATGTGAGGGACTGAGAAGGGCAAATAATGTGATTATTATTTTCGCACTTGACTTTATTTGCATGCAGCACGAAATATACGACGATTTTTTAATTAGTAGCAGCTTTCTTCTTTTGATTGGTAGCTAACTCTGCGCAAATGTTTCGTTTCTGGTTCATAATTGTTTTCGTTGTTTTGTTTTGCTTTCGTCTTACCGGTCGTACCTTATCATTATTGTTGGGTCGGTTCAAGGCTATATAAACCGGTCGGTTCATCCGGTTCATCGCTTTTTGACAGATAAAAGTTGGGTCAAGTTGTGTAAGTACTTCCATAAAGTATGTAAAAATTTGTCATACGTGTATTTTGATACGTCAGAGGTCATTTATTTAGTACATGAAGCATTTCAGCATTCATTCATATTTTCATTTCAATTTCAGCCCTTTCCTGACTGTGACTTGCCATGTGACTTGCTAAGCTGCTACAGCTAGTTGTTTGCGAATTTGAATTGAAATTGCAATTACTATCTCATTTGTTTTTCTTTTTCACCTGCATTATTCATCAACAGAATTGGGCAATGTGATTTGGATTGGGATGACCGAGCAATGCTTGCCAGCTTATAAGTTATAGGTAAATTAGTTTAATTCTCAGTAGGTAATGCTATGGTATTGCTTTAATTAGAAATCCCAATCAAACTACAGCTAGGTAGGTATTTCGTGATTTTTATGAACATTTTTAGAGGGTAACAACTAACAAGTAACAACAGAACAGTCAAGCAAAATCCAAAACAATTATACAAGTACATCAGGAGCCAGCAGAAGGTCAAACCAGCTATACATGCAGTTGAAAATGGTACAAGCTTGACCTCAAATGATCAAGAAACTGCTGAAGCCCTGCAAGATTTCTTCAAATCTGTTTTTGTGAAAGAGGGTGATACTCCTCTACCAGACTTCGAGGAGCGCGTGCAACCTGAGGCAGCCATCACAGACATTGAGATGACTACTGAATCAATCAGAAACGAACTTGTCAACTTATGTGAACAAAAAGCACCTGGTCCTGATGGTATCCCCAGCATTGTGTTGAAGAGGTGTGCAGAGCAGCTAACTCGACCTCTTTACAAGTTATTCACAAAGTCACTTCAAGAAGGCCAATTACCACAAGATTGGAAGGATGCTAATATTGTCCCAATCCACAAGAAAGGTAACAGAAATAAACCAGGGAACTACAGACCTGTAAGCTTGACCAGCCAAGTTGGAAAAGTGATGGAAAGGTTGATTAAAAGGAGTGTGACAGCTCATCTCGAGAGAAACAACCTCCTGAGCCAACAACAACATGGTTTTGTATCCAAGAGGTCTTGTCAGACCAACCTGCTGGAGGCCCTCGAACACTGGACGAAAGCTATTGATGAAGGACGAGGTGTGGATATATTGTACCTGGACTATCAAAAAGCATTTGACAGTGTACCCCACAAGCGACTGATGAAGAAACTCTACGGATATGGTATCAAGGGAAATGTATTGTCTTGGATTAGTGCATTTTTGACAAACAGAAGACAACGAGTGGTGGTAGGGACAGATCACTCTGAATGGTGTTCAGTCATCAGTGGGGTCCCCCAAGGGTCAGTGTTGGGACCAGTCCTGTTCATCATGTTTGTCAATGAGCTGCCAGATCTTGTGCGCAGCAACATGAAAATGTTTGCGGACGACGCCAAGATATACAGGCCTATTCAAGCAAAACAGGACGCTGAGACTCTCCAACAAGACATATCACTTCTGCAGAAATGGTCTCAGGACTGGCTTTTGAGATTCAATGAGGCAAAATGTAAAGTGATGCACTGTGGCTCGAACAATCCAAGTGTAGACTACTTCATGTCAGATGGCACAACCAGTAAAAAACTACAAGTCAGTACCCTGGAGAAGGACCTAGGAGTTTACATCACAAACAACTTGAAGCCATCAGTCCACTGCCAGAAAGCTGCTTCTAAGGGTATGTCGGCCCTACGTATGCTAAAGCAAGCATTTGATAGACTGGATCTCGACAACTTCAAACCTCTGTTCACCACCTACGTCCGCCCACATCTTGAATATGGTATGCAGGCTGTTGGCCCGTACACTGCAAAGGACATCAAGCTGCTGGAACAAGTTCAAAGGAGGGCGACAAAGCTTGTAAAACCTTTAACAATCACGCAATGGCATCATCGCATCCCTATTTCATGGGGATCTTCGCTTTTTGTCGTCAATTCGACAGACCTGGTCCACTGCATTGTTTGCAAATATATAGCATATAGCCGATCACTGATCAGTGATCTTTTACTTACATGTACCTTTTTTATTGGACCTCGAGTCTGCAAATATAGAAATCTCTCTCTCTCTCTCTCTCTCTTTAAGGAGCACACCCTACCCAGAGCGCCTCCGCAGTCTTGGACTTCTTAGCGTAGAAGACAGACTGCGTCGAGGCGACCTCATTGAAACATACAAGCTCCTGACAGGGAAGGTTAAGGTGGACAGTGATCAGTTCTTTGAAGTCGACCACGAAGACCGCACGAGAGGGCATCATCTGAAGCTGAAAAAAGGCAGATCAAGTCATCTATACAGGCTGAAGTTCTTTTCAAACAGAGTAGTTAATGACTGGAATGGATTGCCTAGAGATGTGGTGGAGGCTACTTCTACAAACATGTTCAAACGAAGACTAGACCAACACAGGGCTGCCAAACCTGCATCCTCACGCCACAACTGACCTTATGGCTCATTTCCTAGTCCGGCTCGATGTGAGCATTGAATAGACCTAGTCTACTACAGCTCACTAATGCTCAACTTCAACTTCAACTTCAAGTTCATGAGAACTCAAACTGTACTCCACAGGAGATTGTTAGAATTGGAATGGAATCATGTAAGTTATTTATTGTGCAGTTAAGTCCTCAATAATGATGAGTAGCACAAATTTTACAGCTGAAGATCTTACTGTATGGTAGTGATGGTACCTTTATTGGACATTTTTAAAATGAATTAGCAGCTGCTCATTTTTTAAATATCAGTTTCTTGATTTTCCTGCTCGAAACCGCCTGTTACTGTTGTATGCCATGGATAGTAGGGTGTGTCATCGAGGGGGTGATTCTCGCAGAATCAAACGCCGTAAGGTTTTTCCTTGGCACATTGATCAATAATGAATTTTCATCCATATCCGAGTCCACCAAAATTAAAATTCGTGCGGCGCCAGCCATTCAAAATTTTGGCGCCCGGCGTTGCAGTCTCCAATGCTGAGCGTCACCCAGCACTGCGAGTAACACCAAGTATTGTAGGAGGTAATAATGCAAAATAACTACCGCTGAAAATGATGCTTTTGAGCGCTTCTAAGGCTGATTGTTGCAAAAAAGCATGTCCTTAGAGTGTCCAATTACTGTTTTTATTGTGCTCAATGAATTAAATCGAGCATGGCTTCTGAAACTAAAGAAGAAGCTGCCCGATTTTGAGAAGCGGGCGGGGTGGAGGCGGAGACGGCAAGTGACTCAGATTCGTCTTCTGAAAACACCGACTCCGTGGCATCCTCTGGGCGGTGCTTCTTCTTCTTCTTCTTCTTCAGCATGTCATCTCGTGTGACTGGCCCGTCTCCACCAGGAAGTCCCGGATGAGTCCAGCCTCGGTGGAAAGGATCTCCCTCAGCGTCGGCAAAGGGCCCCACGGGCGGGTCCGTGGCCCCTGGTAGGCGGGGTAGTCGACCAACAGGTGTTTGGCCGAGTCCGGTTCGTCGCAACGGACTTTCTCGTCAGACTCGGCCGGACCAAGTCGGAATCGGGTGTCTCCGGTGAGTGGGGAGCAGCTCACGCGGAGCTGTGCCACTGTGATCGACGCTCGGCGGCCCAGTTCTCTCTCCGTGGCCCAGAGCGCCACATCGTCCGCATTCGCAGATGTGTACCTCCAGTTCCCGAGCCGCAGTTATAGCCGGTCATACGAGCCTGCAGGGTTAGCGTCCGATGGCTGCGCTGGTCCTTCAGGAAGACAGCCTCCTCCTGAGTGACTGTGGGCGATGAGACTTGTGCACCTGCTCTGAGAGTTGCATTTGCATTTGGCGATATCCAGTTGTTGAATTGTGCAGTGGCGGCGCTTTGCTGGTTCCCTGTGTCGTGCTATAATTGTCGTATGGGCATTTCCTAATCAGCTACGTTTTTTTCGCCTCGTGAGTTATGATCCGGATAGCATAGGGCCCTGCCGAAAGTGACACGGCCGCGTACAAAACATTTCGTGATAGGACAGCCGGCACTTTTGTCCCAACAGCGACTGCTGACTAAAGCAGAGGCCTTCAGTTATGTCAGGTGGCTGAGTGCTCAAAGAAGAAATCCAACAAATAGTGCATTTAGGGCCGTGGCGAAAAAAGGACAAGGCAACTCTGAACTAATGAAGGAATCCCTGTTCGCGATCTATGTAAAACACACGACGAAAGTGATCAAAAGGGACTGCTATAAGCCCTACAGACAGCCCTACAGACTTCTGAACAAAACACCAGAGACACAGGAAGGAACAAAGCGCCGCCACTGCATAATTCAACAACTCCTGGATATCGCCAAATGCAAATGCAACTCTCAGAGCAGGTGCACAAGTCTCATCGCCCACTGAGTCACTC